CCTCCCTGCCCCACGCTTCTTGGACCGTAGTCACTTGGACCGCCGCAGAAAACTGCACTCCATGACACCAATTTACTGTAATTCGACACAGCCCACCTTCCTCCCTTCGAGTTTCTTTTCCCTTCCTCTTTGAAATTTGCAGTAAATAAGCTTGAAATGTCGTTTCTCCTGAAACACCAAACTTCCATGCACTACCGAGATGACAAAAAGCGCGAACGAATATCGGAAGAGTTGGTTTCACATATACATTTGGAGACAGACAGCTAACAGGGGTATGGGAGTGTTTCCCCCCAGATAAAAAGACAGGAGCGGGGACAGTAGCAATCCTTTATTCGCAATAATAATCACTATGGGGGATCAGCGAGGCAGCATCCTAAGATGACTGCAATCAGGACAATTGGAGGAAAAATACGACGAAGAGAACTAGGGGAGAGAGAAAGAGAACAGAGCGGATATTTGAAAGGAAAAAGAAGAGAACGAGGAGGGGAGAGAAAAAGAGAACAGAAAAAGACATGAGGAAGCGCAGAGACCCAACGAGACGAGAGCAGGTCTCTGCATCAGCGCTGACGTCTTCCCACGGAAGATCATGTTAGCGGTATTCGGGACTACTTTCAGTCTAGATACGATTTATTTTGACTGTATGCTGAATTTCAGAGAAGAGCGGTAGTAACACACAAGGAAATCGGGCAATAGGATTGGACTGGGAGGAGCGAAGCGAAGGGCCGAGTGCTGAGAAAGCCTGCCGTCCCCTGAGCAGAACGCACCCTTACTGTGACTGTATACAAGCTTTCCGGTCCCGCCCAGTCAGAATGAGAATGTCATATTCGAGGGAAGACTGTATATGAGCAGAGAGAATAAGGGCCGAGCAGCCGTAAATCCTTCTGCCAGGGGAAGCAACCAATCAATGCCACAGTCTCAGGAGCGGTAAATCCTTCTGCCATGAGAAGGGATCAATCATTGGCATAATCTCAGTGTACCTGGGCCATAAAGCAGGGAAGCGTGGAGCGCGTAATTGACGAAAGGGAACCCGTACCCGGTTTGGAGCAGGTTAATAAAGTTTGTCTTTTTGTGATAAAAAAAAAACCGGACAATTTAGGCGGAGGTATACATCATATATAAACGGACAGACAGAGCTTCGCTCCAGAAAGAGAAGGACAAGAAGCACGAAATAGAGAGCGCGAAGTTGTGTGGAGAAATGAGAAATAGAGCGGGAAATTCTGAGGAAATCAGACACATAAAAGATTACCAGAGAAAAGAAGTCCAGAGAAGAATTAAGAGCCAAAAAGTTAGACAAAAGCATGGTTACACAGAGAACAAGACCAACAACGAAGACAAGCCAGCTAGAAAGAGAGCCAGCCGTGTAGACAAACAGACAAAAAGACGAATACAATTGAGATTACAGGAATTAAGCACGGCGTGTATGTTTAAGTGCTCTGTGTCTTTGTGTCTGTATGTATCTGTGTGTCTGTGTATGTGTGTATGTTTGATGAGTGTGTGTCTGTGTATCTGTGTGCCTGGGTGTCTGTCTGTATCTGTGTGTCTGTGTGTCTGTGTGTCTGTGTGTCTGTGTGTCTGTGTTGTGTCTGTGTGTCTGCGTGCTACACACCGGTGTGCTGCCGAAGAGGCACACTTCTATGTCTGTGTCTGTGTCTGTGTGTGTGTGTGTGTCTAAGCGTGTCTGTGTACGTACATGTCTGTGTGTGTGCGCCTGGCTGTATGTGTCGGTGTCTGCATCACAACCTCTTGTGTACCTCTGTGCTTGGTATTCGCTAAATATGACTGCACAAACGAAGGGTGACAGTGACAGACTACTGTGTGGTACTCCCACGGACTTCATCAGGAGGTTGTCTGTCAGCAGTATGCCTGTGCGCGTTTGCATGCTCGAGTGTCCCAAAGGGGAGGGGGGGGAGAGAGAGAGAGAGAGAGAAGAGGTAGAGAAGATGGATGACAAAAGAGACTTAGTAAGCTGAAGCATTGACGAAGGCTTGCTTCAGCTCAACATATCCGAAACCTCTGCGCAGAGCTGTCTCGACCTTGGATGCCGCTTGGCAATCCGCAGCAGAGGAGGACGACCCGGCAGCAATGGCTGCTGAAGGCTCTTGACGGCTATGGATGCCGGTGGCGGTGCCCAGAATTTGTCTGCACGAAACTGACTGCAATCACGTCCAGATAAACCCGATGGTTGTCTCATCATCAGGCTGATGAGAACCTGGTTTCAAGCCCAACAAAAACACAAACACAAATCCCAGTCTTATTGGTGGGGATCGGCACCGGCGGCACCTGCAGAGACCAGGTGCAGCAGCCCGTAAGAATAATATAAAGTTTTTTTCGCCCGAATTGTAGGTGCCGTCCTCCCCCAACATACAAGTCACACGCACAATCCCATTTATGTCGAACCACACCCTAGCAGCGTAGATTACTCCTGTTGAAAAGTGGGACTGAACCAAAGATGTTCCAACGGGCCCGGCCCGGTTGATGCACCCATGAACTGTTGAAATGCAAACCGTGGTTCGAATCCAGATCCGACCACATGAACAGAGTGTTACGGTAAGAATCCACTTTACCTGCTGAGGCCATTCATTTGAGTGATATGATCTGAACGCTGTCGTTCTTATTTAAAAAAAGAAAAAAAAAAGCAACCACAACAAGAGGAGGCATACCGCCGGGCTTTACTCTCATCTTTCTTCAAAACGTTGCTAAAGAGCGCAGTTCAGTTACCTAGACAGTTAGGTAGACCTTGGGCCAAAAAATAAAAGAAAAAGTAAATCTAGTAAGGACCCGGGCTGCTAGAGTGGCCCAGGACCACTTGCCCGGCCGGTCTTGATAAAAAAAGCACAGCACAAAAAAACATGGTAACCAACCGGACGTCCGGACCGGTTTCCAGGCAACCCCAAACATTATGTAGGGGTCCGGTGTCCGGTCCTGGACGTCCGGAACGGCCCTCCCCCAGGAAAATTCAAAAAAAAAAAAGGGGCCTTGGAGGACGTTTTTCGGGTCCTCGTCGGCCCCTGAAAAATGGCAGGCCGATTTTTTTTTTTTTTTTTTCCCTACCGGACACAGGTCGAAGGCCGGACCCGCCACAGTCTGTGCAGACTCAGGTCGGGTGGCTGGGGACAGGGCCAGCATTTTCGAAGTTCGAACTGGCCGTTTTCGAATCTGGAGGGCGCGCTGTTCGGAAGCCGCCGGCTGCTGCCCGTCACATCTCCCCTGCAGCCCCTCAGGCATCGACGAAGACGCCACCATCGCCAACGAAACACGCAGCCGCTGCCAGCGTCCAAGAACCATCCAGCTGCCTCCATCGTCCAGCCCTCGCCGCCGTCGCCCAAGAAGCAGCTCTCTCTCTCTCTCTCTCTCTCTCTCTCTCTCTCTCTCTCTCTCTCTCTCTCTCTCTCTCTCTC